TTACTAGGAGTATTCAAAGGGACTCAAGCCTTAAGTTCAAAATTTAAACAAGCAAATGGACCTCCAGCATTTCCTGGGCTTAAACAAAACGGCCCAATCCCTGTAACATGAGGCCGCCCAGCAGTTTGGACTCTAGTAAAATCCAGTCTGATCAAAATAAGCTGGGTTTTGCCCATCGAGGAACTGGGCTAAACGTGGGCCCAGTCTTGGCCCAAATAATATAAATCAAGGTCCGATTCCTATGTATCTTATGCACTAAAACCTGATTATTATCGGAAGTTTTAGTGTGAACTAAATGGTGATTTAATACCCAAGACCACTAATCAGCACATGAACCAAATAAAACAGTAGGATCACAGTCATCAACATATAGAAGTGATAGTTCATTTGTTAAATCCATGAGGAACTTTACATTATGCTTGAAACCTGATTTTTTGCTTGCTTGAATCATATGCCAAAACAAAAAGGAAATTAAGGATCTCTAATCGTTTTCATATCTGAACTGGTCTTTACTTATATCCTATTTGAGGGTTAAACGAAAAAGCCAGCAAACCACAACACATTTAAGTACAAACTTTATTGAAATAGCTTCTGCAATTACGAACATGCAATCCAAGTCCAAAATCTGATGCCATTCGAATGTTGAATTATTACTACAAGTGAGAATCTACAATCAGCTTCTATATTTATGTTGTTACCAATATCAACTATTAAATTAATCACTAAACATAATTACCCTAAGCTAATTAACAGTCCAATACAAACTGGCAGTCCAAAACAGTTCAATCAAAACAGTCCAAAAGCAGTTCGAAATAGTCCTAATTATACAGTCCATGGCCTATTATTTCATGTTAGTACAAACTAAATAACTAACATCAACTAACATCTATTTAATTATAGCAAACAGAAAACAACCAACGAGCATAGATCTGATGAACTCATTTCAACTCCAATTCAAAGCTACATCGACATGAATTCGAAGATGTGTACCTGGAATTTGAAATACAACAAGGAAAAGGAGAGATCAGCAGCAGTGTGGGCTAAACACAGTTTCAAACAGTAAAGGACAACAACAGCTATTTCAGCTTGGAATCCAGTAGAACCAGCAACGAAAAACACCAGCAAATAGACTCAAAAATTGACTGAACCGAATTAGCTTGAAACGACCAAAACAGCTCAAATACACCCAAAAATAGCTCGAATTTGAACCCAGGACACTTCTGAAGCTTCAGCACTTAAAAGTCGAGCTAAGAGATGAGAATTAATGCCTAGAAGTCAAAATTAACCTAGAAAATTTAATATAACAGTGTTTTTTGGAGTTTTCTACTGGTTTTTTTTTTTTGATTTTTTGAAGGACTTAAGATCTAAGGGAAATTTGAATTGTAGTAGTTCAGATTTGAGTATTTGAATTTGAAATTCAAATTTCAGATCTTAAAACTTGCAGAAAATGTTTCTTGGGGGGAAATTTAGGAGCTGGAACTTTTTTTGGAATTTTTCAGGTATGAAACTTCTTTGGGAATTTTTCAGATTGTTAAAACTTGCAAATGAAGGCAGGTAGGCTGCCTTTTATAGGAACAGGGCAGGAAGGTTCTGGAATTTCTTCACTCATTTTCCCCCTTTTTATTTTCAGATTTTGTTCACTAATCCTATAGTTTTGACTTGTTGCCTAAGTTATTACCCTAAGTTCCTAAAACTCTAATTGGAACCCCATCTAGAATATTCTAGGGGTTTCCAAATCAGTGATTTGCAGTATTTTCTTCCATTGAATTACCTATACTACCCTTTTATTAAATCTGAAATTACCACTATATGTCAAAACTAACCTATCCTTTTTACCCTAATTAGATTTTAACTATAGTTAAACTCAAGGACTTTGAATTCAGCTATATCCAAACAACTAGACTAATAAAATCTAACTAACAGCAACAATTAAGAAATTACTAACTAAATCAAACACTGAAAAATTAAAATCAAACGATGCCTAAACAGAGTCGACTAAAACAAATAGTAAAGAATTAAAGACTATAACAACGAACACTGAATTGAAACAAAACATATATCAAAACAAATTCAAAACAAAAACTAAACTAACATCAAAAATCACCAAGACAGGATTAAACAAAATCAAAACAAAATTAAACTAAAAAAAATAAAAACAGTTACAAGAACAGAATGAAAACAAACATTGAACTAAAAATAAAAATCAAAACAGAATTAAACAAAAATCAAATCAAGAAGAAACTTACTGATTTTATTCTTCAAGGAGTTCAATTCGAATTGAGCCCCCAAATAATATTATATGTTTGTTCTTGGTAAGAACAAACATATAATGTTATTTAGGAATTCATATCGACACTTGGTAGTCTTTTAAAAAATTCCAACAGTTTTCCAAAACCCTAGATCTAAAATTCGTAAGGTTTGAGTTGGATTTAGGGGAAAATAATTTGGGGTTTAGGCAGAGGAGGGTTAAGAGAGTATGGGGTGCGAATTTTGAGAATTTTGGAGGAGTTAGGGTCTTGGGCCGGAATTTTGATTCAATATTCGAGAAGTTTGGGCGTGTTTTGAGAGAAATTAAGGCCATGCATGGACTGGGGAGACGAAGACGGAGCTATGGTGTTAATTTGGTATCGTTTGGAGGTGGCGCCGCCGTGGGCGGCGGAGGCGGCGTCCACAAATTTGGATATTCGAATACTTTGACAGAGATTTGGGGACAACAAAGGTCGGATTCGTGCTGAAGATGACGAGGGGGTGTTATGGTGTAAGTTTGGACGAGATTGGAGACCGGCCGCTGCCGTGAGGCGATTTCTGGCGGCGGTTTAAGGCGGTGGACGGTGAGGCTGTCTCTGGAGAGGGTAGGGTGAGAGAGACGACTTGGGGGTAGGGGGTAGGCTTCCGACATTAATATATCAAATTGACCCCAGTTCCTGACCGTAGGATCAAGAATCCTCGACGGCCAGGATTAATTTTTAACAAAACGGCGTCGTTTTCTTAAAGCGGGATCCGGACCGGGTTTCCTGAAAGGGACTGGGCCAATTTCGAACGGGTTTGGGGAGGGGTTTTGGGCTAGAATTAAAATGGCCCAAACAATTTATCAGCCTATTAATTGTTAAAATCCCCTTTTAATTTCTTTATTTGTTTTCTTCTTTTCTTCCTTTTTTTTATTCAATTTTTAGATTTTATTAAGTACAAAAATAAAAATAGACAAGATCTGATTTAACTCTAAATTAAAACTAATTAATTCTCAAAAATTAAATAAATCGTAGTTTAAAAAGAAAACTTAAAGAAAAATCAAAACTAAAAGTAAAACAATGCAAAGGGACTATTTTGTTATTTTCTCTTATTTTTTGTGATGTTAATCAACTAATAAAAAATGTTAAAATGAGGTTCTAATTGCAAGTATGCTATTTTTTGTATTTTTCATGAGTTGTATCAATTAAAAATGCACAAAAATGCACACAATCACAAATCATGCAATTAATTCCCTAAAATTCAAATAATAAAAAAAATCCTAATTTTAATGAATTCTATAGGAGTAATTTAAGCGAGGCAAAAATCACGTGCTCATAGTTATCGGTTTGCCCGATAAGATAAAACAACTAAAATAGTTTCGCTAAAACAGTTTTATAAGATTTTAATAACTGTTTTGCTAAAACTCTTTTTAGAACTGTTCTATTTCACAAGAATTTAAATTTACTACAACATCCAATAAAATAAACACTAACCAAAGTTTCTATCTTTCATTCTTCAACCCAAAAAATATAAACAAAAATCCTAATATCAGTTAGTGACGAAAAAACAGAATATCAGTCATATTTTCACTTCGACACTTTCTTCTTTGTTCAAACGACTAGCAATAACTCTTATTACATTGATATCTACTTTTTTACGCTAGTACAGAATTATGTATATAGATTAAAAAGTTTATTAGTTATGAAATACAAATTTTATAACAACTGACACACGATAACTTTGTAACATCTCAACAATTAAAGCACACGACAAATCTCACTTCAGCTTTCAAACAAACTAAGAAAAATCCAGAGCTAGAATGCTTTCAAACAAACTAAGAAAAAGATGAATATGAAGCAACTAAAAACTTACACGAAGAATCAAGATGAAGTTGAAGAATGCGGCTGAGAAATGCGACTGAAGAATGAAAAAGATGCGACTGAAGAATCTGATGGATCTGAGAAATGAAGTGAAGATGCGAGTGAAGAGTGAAAGAAAGAAGCTGAGAAATGCGACTGACGCCGGCCTGAGTCTTGACAGGCTGACTGGTGAGGGTATGCTGTGACTGACGTCGGCCTGAGTCTTGACGGGCTGACTGGTGAGGGCGTGAGGCGGAGAAACTAATAAAGAATAGGAAAATCAAAGAGTGAACTATGAAGTATGAATTATGAAACCCTAGTATGTATATACTTAAGGGTAAACCAGCAAATTAGTTAATCCTTATTGGGTTATCGGTTTTACCCAATAACAGAATTGCCAAACCGATAACCCAATAATTTTTTTTTAACCCGCTACCGAACCGTTAACCCAATAACCCGATACCGATAACCCAATAAATAATTAACGGTTTGGGTTATCGGTTTTACCCGATATATGCCCACCCCTAGGTTCTGTTGTTGCTCAAAAAAACTTTTTCATTTCGGCCAAACACCTCAATTTTCCGGTAAGAACTTTTTGTTAAAAAAAAAAAAGTAGTTTTGGTATCCCAAAAACTTGGCCAATCAGACTCTAAACACCTTAACTTTAATTTTTTTTTTTTTTTTTGGTAAAAAAGAAGCTTCGCCAAATACATAACGAGTAACCAACGATGTGAATATTAAGCCGCGTAATTAAGGCAATTAAGACAACAATTATGATTCGATGATTACAACAAAATACATAGGAGACAATTTTGAACAATGTGAATAGGACAAGTGGACCAACCCAAACACAAATATTTGGGTTTTTGCCTTTTGGTAGGTGAGGTCTTTGGTTGTCGTTAACCATGATCTCAGCACAACTCTAATCAAATCTTCAATTTTTTTTCTCCATTTTCATTTTTATTTTCACGTGTAATAATTAGTCGCCAATTGTCATCACAGTAAAACCTTAACGAAGCTTCCGACAAGAATACGACAACCAACGGACTTATGCCTTAAGGGGAGAGGGAGCAATGAACATTTCCTAATTCTTATCAATTTTCAGATCTCCCTCTCCTAAACCCTTACATTTTTTCCGGCCGATCTATGTATATATTAATATATATGTAAAATAGATTTAGAAAGATCTATATATAGTAATTGATTGTAGCAACTCGAAATCCATTGACTCTTAAATCTTCAATTACTAGCTTGAGTTGTTCGCTGGTAGCCTGGTCCAATGTGATTTTTCCAGTTTTGTCTTTTCTAAGGTGAGAATTGAGCTTTTGTTCGTGTCTATTTGGCGGGAATTATATTTATCTTCATATTAGATTTTGAATTTTTTGTATCGCTGGAATATGCTCTTTTTTATTTTAACAGGTCTTTATCGTGATACTGTTTTGGAATTGTGCATTTGACCTTGTATATGCTGAAGAAGAAAGTAAAGGATAGAACTAAAAAGAAGAGGGAAAGAGGAGGATGACGATTTCGGACAATAGCAGAGGGTTAATTCTGGCAATATCATCAAGTTTGTTTATTGGAACAAGTTTTATACTGAAGAAGAAAGGTCTTAAGCGTGCTGCAGCAGCTGGCACTCGAGCAGGTTTGCAAAAAATTCTTAATTTTTAGTATGTTGATTTGAATTATTAGAGTAAATGGTTTGTGAGGGTTATAGCAGACTCCAACTTGTTTGGTACTGAGGCGTAGTTGTTGTTGTTTTGGCCTGAATTATAGTCTGCATATTACAAATCTCAGTATTTGACTTTTCGTTTTTATGAGAAATTGAAGCTTTTTTCTTCTAACTTATAGAGTTCACAATGTAAATTGTTCGGAGTTAAGAGAGTTTTGTGGCAACAAAATCTATGTCTAGGGAATATAGTTGTGTGTATTCACTGTAGAGAAGGAACTGTATGAGGTTATTTTTGGTTGTGCTACTTCCATGATTATTAGTGTGATCTCTAATATATCCTATACCGTCTTTGAAATAGTGGGTTGCTCCTCTTTGCCCGTGGATGTACACTGAATCACGTTTAGTATTGTGTTAATAGCTTGTTAAGAAATATTAAATCTTTTTGGAACTTTGATCTTAACCATCTGGTATCTAGTCGAGGTTCTCAGCTTCAGCTGTACTAGTCAATTTGATGAAAAGGTTTATGTTGAGATGGATTGCCAATTTCAAATTGTGGCATCTTAAGGTCTGCCCAGGAGTTGATAGACATTCCTATTGAAGATACAGTTACAGTGAATTTGAAATGAATGACTTTGAGAGTAGTTAAGGAAATTTCTCCATGGAGATCAAGATAGTTTGATGAGTTAGGAAGCTATTGTTGACATACAAAAATTATTCGATGAAGCCTTTAAAGAGGTTTGGCCTGAAGATGCTAAACCTGTGAATACTCCTCTTGCTGCACATTTCAGACTCCCAACTGCTTAGTCACGAGCAAGATGAAGAAGAAAGATATATGTGGTGCGGGTTTCCTACTCCAATAACGTTTTGTACTATGTATGCAATGGTCATATGGAAACTTAACAAAATGTTAGTATGTAAAGTTATGGTTTGTCCAGGTAAAATGCATTCACAGGCTGTATCACTATGAAGTGGATTCTTAGATATTTGTCTGGAAGTTTAATATATGTTTGGAGATGGGGAGAAATAATAATATTTTGGTTGGTTTCATGGACTCTGACTATGCCAGAGAATTTGATAGAGAAGACCATTCACAGGATATATTTTGTATTGGCGGTTGTGTTGTTAGCTGGAAGGCACTCTAACAACATTATCTACTATGGGGCTAAATACATGGATATTGCAAAATCAGTTAAAGAAGTATTGTGGTTAAAGGGTTTGTTTGACGAGCATAATCTATGTCAGATGTGATTACTATTTATTGTGATAGTCAACATGTTATGTGCTTTACTAAAGGCCAGATGTATCACGAGAGGAAGAAACATTAGTGCGAAATAACACTTCATTCGAGAGCCTATTGCTGAGAGGAAAGTATCTATTCATAAGATCAATACCAGAGACAATCTTTTTTGACATATTAACAATACTTACCCCAATTACTAAGTTCGAGCACTGCCTAAACTTGATCAGTGTTTATGGTGGATGACTCAGCCTATAAAGGCTTGTATTGAGGTACTAGAACAAGTATTCATTGTTAGAAATTCAAGAAAATCCGGGGATTTATTAATTAATTTGGTGGTCCAAATTATACCTACTATATTGAGAATTGCCCTTTTCTTTTACTCGCGAGAAAATGCTACAATCTCCTATAACGTAGCACTCATTCCTTGTAACTTGATAGCATGTACGATGTAGATCTCTCAAAGGTAGTAAGTTATTTTGTGGGAGATACTTGTGTTGAAGATCCACTTTTGAGAAATTCAGTGTTCATGAATTTATGAGGTTACATCTTTATAGACATACTTGCAGGACGATTAGAGTAATCACCTAGCTTTGTACTGTCTTTTGTGTACTATCTGAGATAGTGGATTGCTTCTCTTTCCCGATGGATGGAGGTCTAGTTGATCGAACTATGTAAAATCTGTGTCTTCTACTTATCTGAAGAAAACCTTGCGTCTTCTTTACTGTATTTTCTTTGTCATCTTAGTTATCATCATCCTAGAGGGTACGTTTTGTCAGATTACGTCTCGGTGCAACGATCTCTATCGGTATCTACTTCAGTTTGCCATTGACTTAACTAGTAAAATGAAACAGAAGGTTAGCCTTTAAAAATTGTGACTTGGATTTCTGATATTTTTCTTACCATCTCTCACTTTCTCTGCGTGTCGTATGCATCTAAAGTGCTCATTTCTCTGTTTAGTTGAGCTGCTTCAGTTGTAACTTAATTTTCTATCTGCTCAAGTCTGTTATTTTACTCCAGTTAGTTGTCAAAATTGGCTTGTTCAATACCAAGCTAAATTTGTAGAAGCAAACACAACTACGTAGAGTTAATTCTTTCTTGGGCTCTCAATAATTCGATTCTGTTCCAAAACAGACAAGTTAACAGCTTTTGCCGCCATCCAGCTCACAGAAAGCTCCTTGGTCCAAAAGATGAATTTTATTAATGGCTATGGAAATAGTACAAACATTCAACAAAACATTATTACCGGACCTTCAAATGATATGTTCAAAGAAGACATGGTAGTTATTCTATTGACAGATACTCAATACTACGAGATTGTATATCTTTAATTGAGTGCGTTTGAGTATAGAAAAGTCAAAAATATAAAGTACTTTATAGTCTCCTACTTAATTTCTACATAATTATTGTTGAAATTTCTTCTGTTCTCTTGATATTTCAACTCTCTTGATTTTTCAAATTAAAACTGCAAAAGTTAGTTACTTTCAGTTGTTCTGAAGTCTTTTAGTGCCATATTGTCCTTGTTTAATTTCCCATTTTCATGACCAGAAACTAATTAATATCTGTATAGTGTATACACAATCTTTTGTCCTTATCACAGACTGTGTCAACTCCAGTTCACTCACTTAAACAGTTGAAATATTTATTGCAGGAGTTGGAGGCTATACTTATTTGCTTGAACCACTTTGGTGGGCAGGCATGATAACAAGTGAGTAGAGCATAAGTTGTCTCCATACCTTAACCCTCATTTGGGAAAAGGAATACATCGGCATTGTGTGGTTTGGATTTCGATGAAAATGTCTTATTTGGATTTGCAGTGATCACTGGAGAGGTGGCCAATTTTGTGGCTTATATTTATGCTCCAGCAGTTCTGGTGACCCCTCTTGGTGTTTTGAGTATAATTATCAGGTATAATTTTGAAGTTTATGAACTGTTTGTGAGCTCTAATAATGAATCATTAGTGGTGTTTGCAAAACTGACATTGGTGAATCTGAACAGTGCTATTTTGGCGCACTTTATGTTGAAAGAACGATTGCAAAAGTTAGGTGTACTAGGATGCATTTCATGCATCGTAGGCTCGGTGGTTATTGTTATCCATGCACCTCAGGAGCATATGCCATCTTCTTTACAAGAAATCTGGATTTTGGCAACGCAACCAGGTTTGAATTTTGTCTTTAACATATATGTTTTTCTGTTTATCATGCCATAGGTTAGAAAAACCTCATCGCACTTGTAGAAGTGATTACTAATTCCTCCTTATTGCTTCTGTCTGCAGCGTTTTTGATTTATGTAGCTGCAACATTATCTATGGTGCTTGCCTTGATTTTGCATTTTGAGCCTCACTATGGGCAGACAAATATACTGGTTTATTTGGGAATCTGTTCCTTAATGGGTTCATTCACGGTAATTGTCTTCTTCTAAGCTACTATTCCTGCTGCAATGTGGACACCAAACTGTTTCTGGATACGATGCTTTTTGCACATATCAACAGTTTGCTAGCTTGTCCAGAGATTGGTTACTGTAGTGTTTTCATGGTCTTTTGCAGATTGTCAGCATAAAGGCTATTGGAATTGCTATAAAACTTACTTTGGAAGGAATTAGTCAAGTTGCCTGTCCTCAAACATGGTTTTTTCTTACTGTCGCAGTGATATGCGTCATCACACAGCTGAATTACCTTAACAAGGTAAACTTTATCTATAGAGCGGAATGGATACAGGGGATTCAAGAAGCTGGCCCCAACTAATTTGTGATTGATTCATACTTAATTGATGTATTTTCGTCAACCTAGCAAAGCTTTGTCCATATATGCGAGTAGTTTAGATCGTGCATCTATGTGCATATCTGGTATCATTCATTTAGATTTAGATATTAACATAGTTATTCGGCTTTATGCTCTCCTTTTATTGGTGCTAGTTATTGCATAGGGTGTCTTGGTATTCATCATAAAGATAAATCATAAACTTGATAGTGAGAATTGATCCCAACTATGCTAGAATTTTTTCCAAAATTGCAGAACTTTGTTTAACTAATAATTAAGCTAAGTAAATTATTTTGATGAACCTCTTAGATGCTAGTGAATAGTTTAATGTGCAACCTGAGCAGTCCTCCAGAAATGCCCGTTCTCATCTGAAGTTGAGAGGCAGGTTATCACTGTTCAGTTCCTTTAGTCACTTTTTTTTCTTCTTTTGAATGCTTGATAATTGAGCAGCACAATACTGATATCTCAAACAAGTAGTACTGTTTTTTATCTAGCAAAATGAATTTTTTGCTAATATTCTAGTTTGTTGACGATAATTTTCCTAATTAGATGAATCAGAGATACATAGCAATAACCTTTGTAGTGCTGCTGGACGACTAGAAGAATAGTTAATTTGAAGTACGTACTATTAACACAAGATGCCTAATTTTATTTTGGAGTTTACAAATTTGTATGATTGTTATGGGTATGATTATCTTTGGATTGTTTAAAAGCATCTCTGAGATATATACATCATTTGTTAGGCACTGGATACATTCAACACCGCAATTGTTTCTCCGATATATTATGTAATGTTCACCACCATGACCATCATCGCAAGTGCAATAATGTTCAAGGTATTCTGTCAATTGAAGCTCTTCTTCTTTATGGTCCTCTATGAATATGATACAGGGTATTATGAATCTTTTCATCTGCATTGTCATATCGCTTTCCAGGACTGGGCAGGGCAAAATGTCAGCGACATAGTGTCCGAGATATGTGGATTTATAACAGTACTTTCAGGAACAATCATGCTCCATGTTACTAGAGAACAGGAACCAGTTACCGCGCCAGGTATGGATAAAACTTAAAGTTTTCTAGAGGTATTTACCAATCTATAGAAGCTTTAAGCCTCGCATCTTGATATATTTACATTCTAGAAAATGTGCTACCTATTATCTACACCAAGGATGGCATTGGATGTTTCCGTTGCACTTATTTAAAAATATCCTCTTGAACATGTTTTAGACAAGACACATAGCGGGGTTAACTGTGATGTTATGTTACCATAGTGGAAGTTGAAAGTTCAATATGAATTTTTAGTTTCTAGTTATGCAATTCCAGAAGCTACTACTCAAAAAAGTCCAAAATGGAGGCCTTAATATCTCTTTTCTGCTGGTGCTAGTATTTTTCTACTTTCACATTGTAGTTAATATTACATTTGGTTTATACAGGAACCATAACATGGTGTGACGGGGAACGTATAAAGGCAATGGAGGATGGGCATTACATCCTGTTGCATGATTCAGAATACTTAGACTCGTATAGCGCCTTAGCAAAGGATTCGAGAAGTTGATTGCAGAACTGGACGTTCTATCCACAGCTGATATTTGATTTGTGCATTGACGGAATGAGCAATACTTGCTTAAGCTCATTGATCTTGAGCTTTACAACTGCCGAGCAATTTTTTCCTATGTGCATAATACTGGGAAAAGCTAGAGAGCGAGGCCACCTCGTATCTGAAACTAGGTTTGGATTTTCCGAAGATTTTTTGACCAACATGGGGGGTTACATTTGAGCATGGTTTTCTTGCAAATCTCTTATCGCAGTCGGGGTTTGTATATATATGGCTTCTTTTATGTTGTAACATATTATTATTCATTAATTTATCATAATGAGATATAGCCTATCACATGATGGGAAAAAATGACAACAACAATTATGCCTCAGTCTCTAATTACTTTGTCGTTGTTACTGCCTGTTTATTGCTTAATTTTCACTTCTCTTTAAGCCGAAGGTCTTCCGGAAACAACTTCTCTAACGTCATAAGGTAGGGGTAGGTCTGCGTACACTTTACCTTCCCCAGACCCCACTTATAAGATTTCATTGGGTTTATTGTTGTTGTAATTCTCTTTTTCGCTGTTTCCTTATTTAAAATCGAATTGGCAAAAGTTCGTTATGTTTTTCTAAGCCAAAATAAACTTAAAAAGAAAACTAATTAAACTACGTACTTATGTACCGACTATGGACACTACATACCACTTTTTCAACTCCACCACTAGGGGTATACAAACTGAATCGGAAAATCATACCAAATCGAAAAGTCAAACTAAACCGATTAGAAAACTCGATGAGGATTGATTTGATTTGGTTTGTTATTGAGTAAAAAAATCCCGAACCAAACCGACATATAAATATATATATTTTTTATATATACTTTTAAGACTTTATATAGAATTTTTTTTGTAAAATGTCTAGAAATATTTGGGATTCTCTGTAATATTTAATAGAAAACGGAAGTGCTCCATTTTTATTAATTTTATATAATGTGTTGTATGATCACTTTCTTATCAAGTGTTATTGAAATGCGTCAATCTCTTTGTTTTTTCATATTGATATGTCAAGATTTATTATATTCTTATATCTTTTTCGAATTTGAAGTGGTATTTCGAAATTGAAATTAAATAGCACATACATTATTTAGGTATCATATTGATTTTTATGTTTAATTATTGAATTCGGTTAACTTTGAAAGCGTACATCAACGAAAATTTTTTGTCAGACAACCAAAAAAAATAACTATTGTATGTTACTAAGAAAATTCTCCGATAAGAATATTTTAATAGATCATATGTTTGTCAATTTTTTTTAATTTTTATTAAACATATATTTACTTATAGAAAATTTAACAAGTAAGATTGGCATATTATTCATGTAAGAAAAAATCCAAAAAATCCGATGAAACTGAACCAATCCGAACCGATATAAATAGTTTGGTTTGGTTTTGATAAAAATCGGACCAACTAGGTCCATGTACACCCCCTATCCACCACTATCATAATTTATTAAATAATCTGTAAGATTGAGGTGAGTTTAAATGGAGCGAAATTTTTTTATTATCTAGTTATTTTTCACTCACCCCGTTTCAATTTATGTGAACCTATTTGACTGGGCACGGAGTATAAGAAAAAGAGAACACTTTTTAACTTGTAGTATAAAATGAGGCACATATATTTTGTCCGGAGTGCGGGTAGCTCCACAGACTCATGCCCCAGTGGTTCAGCCAGCTGCGGCAGCTCAGCCAGGTATTACAGCTCAGGTCGGTGATGGAGCGGCCATGTCTTCGGATGCTTTGTGGAGACTTGATCGGTTCTCCAAGCTCTTCACCACCACTTTCAGCGGTGCTTCATCAGAGGATCCCCAGGATTTTCTATTCAGTTGTCATGAGATTTTCAGGACTATGGGTATAGTGGAGACCAACGGGGTCGATTTTTGCACCTTCAGGCTTGCAGGGTCCGCCAAGACTTGGTGGAGAGATTTTTGCCAGCCAGGCCAGAGGCTGAGTCTTCCAATGCAGTTATTACAGGTACTATTCTGGTCTGTGACAGGGATGCTTCAGTGCTATTTGACCCTGGGTCTACGTATTCATATGTGTCGTCTTATTTTGCTCTGATACCAACTTGTCACGACCCGGATTTTCCACCATCGGGAGCCGTGATGGCGCCTACTAGTGGGAGCTAGGCAAGCCAACTCTTACTTATCTCTTCATTTTCTATCATTATTTATCAAATTCCTAGACCTAAAACATGTAATTTAGGGTGTAAATTAAGGGTTTTGGGTAGAGTTAGGTTTTTGGGAATTTTGGGTGATTCAACCTCAATTTGGGGTCGGATCTTGAAACAAATTATATATTTGAACTCGTGAGGTTATGGGTGATTGGAATTTGGTCCGAGCCTCGAGTTTGGACCATGTGGGCCCGGTGTCGGATTTTGCTATTTTTGGAAGAATGGCAGGAAATTCATTTCTAGGCTATGGGATTATGTTGTTGAGCCTCATTTGATATTATTGAATTAATTATGATTAAATATCATTGTTTCGGAGTCGAATTCTAGAGGGAAGGCGGTGTTAGAGGCTTGATTGCTATTTTCGGACCGAGGTAAGTGTTTGATCTAACTTTGGCTTGAGGGAATAGGATTAGGGTGTTGTTTGCTAATTGTTAAATGTTGAGTACGGTGTATAGGCATGGTGACGAGTATCTATACACCGGTGTCTAGCATGACCGTGGGTCCTTGTTTGTACTTATTCTGATGTTGTTATGACTCTTCCATGTTAATTGATAAATCCTAAGTAACGCGAAGAGTATGAGAATTGATTGTGAATTGTAAAGTCTTTGGAGCGTTGGCTCGAACATTAAAAAGAATATTGAATAAGAAATGAAAGAAATGGGAAGAAATATGATTAATCCCTTGCCGGGATGGTTTGAGTATATTGATTTTTCTCCCTTGCCGGAATGTGAAGGTTATTGTTGTAGCTCCCTTGCCGGGAATTAGCTGTTTACTTGTATTTTTCCCTTGCCGGGACGTTTCTTATTATCTGTCTATCCCCTCGCCCCGTTTGGTTGTGATTGTTGTTTGGGTGAGGAAGAGTGATAAAGCACGAAGGATCATTCCGTGCCATGTTTTGATTATATTTGCACGAAGGGTCATTCCGTGCCATGTTTTGACTATATTTGCACGAAGGGTCATTCCGTGCCATGTTATGAGAGTTATGTGAGGAAAAACACGAAGGGTGATGCCGTGCACTTTATTTGATTGCTTTTGGTGAGGATGAGAGTAAAAGCACGAAGGTGATGCCGTGCAACTGTTGTTTTCCTGCTTTCTTAATTATTGTGGTGCCCTGTTTCTTACTTAAGTTGATGATTTCCATATCCGGATTGTACTCCCCCATAGTATGTTTCCCTCCCCTTTTAACTGTTTAGTTTCGGTATTTCTTTCCTTTTATTGCATATATATATATATTGAACTACACAGGTTGATTTGGTAGTCCTGTCTAGCCTCGTCACTACTTCGCCGGGGTTAGGCCAGGCACTTACCAGCACATGGGGTCGGTTGTGCTGATTCTACACTCTGCGCTCTTTTTGCGTAGATACAGGTTTCGGACAGCATCAGCAGTGGTAGTGTGAGTGTTCGCATTCCGACCATCGAGACACCGAGGTAGCCTTGCAGGCGTCCGCAGGACCCGACGTCTCCTCTATCTTTATTTTCATTCTGTTATCTCATGTATTCGAGACAAACAGTTTTATATTTCTTCCAAACGGTTGTGTTTAGTATTCTTAGAAGTTCGTGAGTATTGTGACACCAGTTCTTGGGTAGTGAATTATGTGTGGATTTCTGTACCGCATCTAGTAACATTTACTAAGTCTTCCGCTAAATTAATTTATTCCGTTGTAATCATATTATTATTGCTAAATGTTTTAAAAAAATGGAAAGATAAGTAAGAGTTGGCTTGCCTAGCTCCCACTAGTAGGCGCCATCACGACCCCGATGGTGGAAAATCCGGGTCGTGACATTTTGTGTTGCTATAAATCATTGCATAAAGGTAAATTGCTTTCAAATAAGGAAATGGGTTATTCTTTTTGATACAAAATAAAAAGGAAATAAATTCACATATATTAAAACGGATGGAGTATTTACTAGACGAGTGAGTGGCCTATGCCTGACATAGTTTATAGGAAAATTTTCGTTCCTATACCATATAGGAAACTATATTACCAAATATGTTAATAGTTTGCATATTACCCTTCATGCTAATAGTATTTCTACAAAATATAGACCATGCATTAAATAAGGAATCATTGTAGCTGTAGGCTTCCTTATTTAGGCGCTAAAATTGGGGGATTAAATATTCTTCCAGATCTTCCAAACGCAAATCACACACATTAATCTCCTTCGTCAGTTTCGTTTCAAATTTAGTGTCTCTACATCAAACGCAATTATTCTTCTACAATTCAAAAACGAATTGATTATTCTTCTACAATTCACAAATCAAAAACGACTAAATCTTCCACAGTTCTTCTACATCAAACGCAATTATGTCCAAATTTCAGTAATACAAAGCAAAGGAAAAGAGAGCAGTGATTCCACCATTGACAACCATTTAAAAGCTTGAAAGCTTTGAATTCAAATTTGGGTTTTCAAAAATCATTATTTGTTTGGATTGGGTGTTGTTGAAAATAACTGGGAATATGGTTTGGAGTTTATATCTCAATTTTGAGGGATTTTGGTGAAGACTAGACATGGTTTTGGCTGAATTTCAGATTGAAATTCGAAGAAGAAGAAGAAAACGTATTGCAGAAATTGTAGAAAAATTGTAGAACAATTGTAGACTGTTGTTTATTTATTTTTCTTTTATTCATTTACTTATTGTATGAAAGTTGAACAACATTGTATAAATATTGTATTTAAGTGGATGATTTAGTACTGTTTTGGACAAAAATATGTATAAAAAATGTGAAACATACATTTCAGGGGAAGCATGTTGAGTCCAAATATGTACCCAGTTTGTAGATATTTTGTAGATAAATCGTAGATTATTTGTATTCTGATTGTAGATGCTTTATTTTCTGTTTTCACAAATAAAAAAACGACTAAAACTTCTACAAATCTTCTGAAAAAACGCAATTATGTCAAAAATCCCAATTATGCTACAATTGAATGGGAATTGGGATATTAAAATTCAATGTACCCAGTTTGTAGATATTTTGTAGATAAATTGTAGATTATTTGTATTCTGATTGTAGATGCTTTGTTTTCTGTTTTCACAAATAAAAAACGACTAAAACTTCTACAAATCTTCTGCAAAAAGCGCAATTATGTCGAAAATCCCAATTATGCTACAATTGAATGGGAATTGGGATATTAAAATTCAATATACCCAGTTTGTAGATATTTTATCGATAAATTGTAGATTATTTGTATTCTGATTGTAGATGCTTTATTTTCTGTTTTCATAAATCAAAAATGACTAAAACTTCTACAAATCTTCTGCAAAAAACGCAATTATGTCGAAAATTCCGATTATGCTACAATTCTGTGATTCTCCTATATGCTCTTGTTACTCCTTACGAAACTGCTATGCTAAATATGGAATCCAAAAAAATATGATGAAGGGATAGATCTTCTTAAGAAATTTTGTAGATAATTTGTAGAAACATTGAACCTATTCTACAAATTCACCCCTCTTTAAATACAATACAACCATACTTTCTTAAATTTAAAGTTTTAGCAATATATATAACTTAAAAAACATCTTCTCCTCTGCACAAGTTAGCTCCAAAACAGACGAAGTGGAATAACAAGCTCCCATCAAAACTTTTAACACAAAAATACAAAGCTCAAAAATAAATAAACAACAGTCTATGATTTTTCTACAATTTTTGCAATATACGTCTTCTTCTTCTTCTTCTTCTTCGAATTTCAATATGAAATTCAGCCAAAACCAAGTCTAATCTTCACCAAAACCCCTCAAAATTGAGATATAAACTTCAAACCATATTCCCAATTATTTACAACAACACCCACTCCAAACAAATAAGGATTTTTGAAAACCCAAATTTGAATTCAAAGCTTCAAAGCTTTTTAATGGCTGTCAATGGTGGAATTGCTGCTCTCTTTTCCTTTCCTCTTATTTTACTGAAGGAACCCGAAATCATAACCATCAAAAGTTATTATTGCTGTGTATGAAACTTTGAAGATTTAACTTCAATTTTGACTGGTTGTAGAAGAAAAAACCTTGATTTTGGACGTTAATGGTAGAGGGTTTCAATTGTTTTTCTGGATTTAGCAGAGGGTTTCAATTATTTTTCTGGTTTTTCTGGTTTCTGGGTGTGTGGTGATACGTGGGTGAGGGTGTGGAGTTGGGAGAGAGAAACGTGGGGGGATGATGATTTGGAGGAATATACGGTACCATAAATTTAGGAGTGATATAAGGTACGATTAATGTACAGTTAAAATATCTTATGGTATAGAATTGGTAATTAGGTACACTAAATGTAATTATACCAAACCTTAAACATTTAGGGTAATATAGTTTCCTATATGGCATAGGAATGTAAAAATTCCTAGTTTATATCCAAAAGACGTAGTGCAAGCGGCGAGGTATATGAAAAATAAGAATTGATATAAATAATAACGTGTTTGAAGTTAATGCATATTCATAGCATGTTCTTGGGACAGGTACTGAACACGGACATTAACAACTTCACTTTGTCAAACATGTTGTTATCAAGCACCAACTAATAACTGTTGGAAAAATATTGGTGATTATGGAGAATAAACGAATTAGCTTGAGGCGTGTCAAGGATACTGTCCTTAAGGATATTTCGCCTACACAGTAATAAATAAAACTAGGTGTATCCCCCAGGATTCAACAAGCTCCTCTAGTATAACTAGGAGCAGAAACAACAAAAATAAATCAAAGAAAACCCAGCACAAAAGAAGGGGAAGAAAAGTTTTTATTTTTTCACACTCTTGAAAGTAAAAAGAACTTGGGTATAAAAAAGAACCTCTTTCTTAGTTCGATTTATCATAAAGTCAAGATTAGCTATGCTTGTTCTTTTTAATGAATGAATTGACCTTTTTTGGGTTCGGGAATTAGTTAAGTTTGTATTTAAGCAAGTTTCCTATAGGCAATCATATTAAATAGGGGCTGAACAATAAAATAGCATTATTTTTTCATAGTTTTTAGTATGTCAGAACAGTTTGAGGTTCTAAGTTTTGAAATTGGCATATAGTTTTAGAATGGTAAATTTAGAACCTAACATATTTTAAATAAAATAAATTTATTGTGGCTCTGTATTGCATTTGGTTACCTTTATATTGTTAGTAGAATAAGCAATAAACTGCAGTGCTTAAAGTCTACTAAAGTACTTTGCTGTTTGCTTTTTTTGAACTATTTGAAAAGCAGATATCCCGCTGTAATAAGTCTGTGAAGAAATATTTTCCAACCAAAAGAACAAACGTGCATGTATAGAAGATACAAACTCTGAAAAGAAACTAAAGCGACGTGATGCATATGGAAAGATATCAGCTGATGAAAAAGCAGCAATGTTATTACAACGACGCATCAAAAAAATGGAGCTAAAAAAGTGCAATGGTTGCATTAAATCAGTTATTGATTGTCCAACTGAAAGAATAAAGTGTCCACGTGACAAAATATTGTCAAAACAGACTGCTCTTACTATAAGAGAGTCTTCTTCTGGTAATTCCAAAGGTTGGATGTCAAATTGCTTCTTCTTTGCTTCTGTTACTTTGCTTGAATATTCACTTAGTGTTAAATGTGTTCCATATTTTGTGCTGTAAGCACCAACCATGAAACTGCTATTTTATCAGCTCCTCCTGATAAAGGAAAAGACGCCGGTCCCTCATTCTGTGTATTTGCAAGAGGTAAGGCTACAACATATACCTTTAACTTTGTTACTTCATCACCTCATAGGCGTGCATTTAAATTAATGAAATTGACGGACCAGGAACAACATCTGGTACATCTAAGGGACAACAAAATGCCTCCATTAAAGTTGTTACCAACAAAGGTTAGTCTTAATCGTTCGACTAACATTACTCATTATTTGAATTTTTGATCACTTTGTCAAAACAAAGTGCACTTACTATAAGACAGTCTTCTTCTGCTAGTGTCAAAGGTTGGAATGACATAATGGGTTTTTAATATTTCTGTTACTTTACCTGAGTACTAACTTAATATTGAATGTATTTCATATTCAATGCAATAGGTGGCAGCTATGAAGTTAGTAGTTTATCAAGTTCGTTTAATAAAGAAAAAAGTATCTCCAATCCATTCTGTGTATTTGAAAGAGGTAAAACTACAACCTCCAGCTTTATCTTTGTTACCACGTCATAACTTAGGCTTACATCTAAATTATAAGAATTTTTGTTTCAGGATCAACATCTGAAACATGTAAGAGTCAACAAGATGTCTTCCCTGAAGCGTTTTCAAACAAAGGTTAGCATTACTTTTGTGTTAAAGTAACATTATACAATAGTACAATTTATCTCAATGTTTACTTTTATCAATTCTCATAATATGAATATTCACTTACTCTGAAATGTGTTTCATATTTTATGCAGTAGGCACCAACTATGAAATTCCTACTTTATCAGCTATTTTTGATAAAGCAAAGAACGCCGGACACTCATTTCGTGTGTTTGAAAGAGGTAAGGTTACAACCTCTACCTTTAGCTTCGTTACTTCATCATGCCATAGCCGTACATCTAAATTAAATAAATTGAAACACTAGGATCAACATCCGGTATATCTAAGGAACAACAAAATGCCTCCACTGAAGTTGTTACCAACAAAGGTTAGTCTTACTTTTACGTTCTGCTAACATTACTCATTATTGGAAATTTTGGCTACTCTTTATTTTTAACAATATTTATAACATACAGGTTATAGATTGAACAGAATAGTCTATATGAAAAATAATGAAAACAGCTTAGATTATGCACGTTTAAGAGCCGTTCAAAATTGTAAATTTTGCAACGCAAAAAGGTTTCAGTATGAACCACCTGGATTTTGTTGTGGCAGTGGGTCAGTAAAGTTAGTTTTATATCAGCTACCTAATGAATTATCAGATATGTACACAGGCAATAGTGAAGAATCTAAGCACTTCCGAACGTATATTAGAACATACAATAATATGTTCGCGTTTACCTCACTTGGTGTAACCAATGATAAAGATTTAGCAAGGAGATATCATGGTATATATACATTTCGAGTTCAAGGACAAATGTATCATTTTATACCTGATTTACTTCCCTCTGATAAAAAAGTTAAGAATCTGCAGTTATACTTCTACGATAACGAAAATGAACTTGCTAATAGAATGGCATGTTCGATGAATATCAACGAATCAATTGTCAAGAGACTTATGAATGTTCTAGCAGTTAATCCATACTCCATCTTTCTGAAATCCCTGGCAAACGTTCCGAAACTATCTGATTCTTATATCGCACTTAAATGTGATCCATGTCTAGATCAACGTGTATATAATTTACCTACTGCAACAGAGGTAGCTGGAATATGGGTTCAAGATAATTCTGCTGATATTGTTTCTACGCCACATATACGAATATATACCCATAGTAATAAGACGCAATCCGTGAATTACTATTACGGATGTTATGATCCTTTGCAATACCCACTATTATTTCCTTATGGTCAAAACGGCTGGCATTGTGGTATTAAAAAAATTGCACGGACAAATCAACGTTATTGCGAACATGAAGAATTACCAAGTGTGAAGAACATGTGTTCCATCGATGGATTTCTTGACATGGAAGATCAGGTTCTGAAAAAAGGAAAACGAAAAAGAGAGACGGTTTCTTGCCGTGAGTATTATTGTTACAAATTGCAGATAAGAGAGAATGACAAGAACGAAGTATTACATTGCGGAAGATTATTTCAACAATTCATAGTAGATGTGTTCATAAAGCTAGAAACACAAAGACTAGATTTTTATTTTTTTTAATCAAGATTTGTTTCGGATAGATATGCTACAAGGAATTATTGATTTTCTAAGACTTGGTGAAACTGAAGCTTCCAAAATTGGGAAAAAAACATTCCTTCCTGTTACTTTCATAGGAGGGCCGAGAGATATGCGTCGGCGGTATATGGATGCTATCGCATTAGTCCAGCGTTTTGGAAAACCTGATCTTTTTATAACTATGACATGTAATCCATCTTGGCCAGAAATAAAACAACACTTGTTATCAACTGACGAAACTCAAAATAGACCTGATTTAGTATCACGAGTATTCAGGGCAAAAGTAGAGGAATTGAAAGCAGATATTTTGAAAAGAAATTTTTTTGGAAAAGTTGCTGCTTTTATGTATACTATAGAATTTCAAAAACGTGGTCTCCCACATGCTCATTTTCTGATCATACTTAGTGATGAATATAAATTATTAACACCTGAATCTTATGATAAGTTTGTCTGTGCTGAATTACCTAATGCTGATACCGAAAAGCATCTTTATTCCCGTGTGCTTCAACATATGATGCATGGACCATGTGGTGACTTAAATCCCACAAATTCATGTATGGGAAAAAAGGGCCTCTGCAAATTCAACTATCCGAAAGATTTTGCTGAGCAAACATCTAAAGGAAAAAATTCATATCCAATTTATAAGAGACGAAATACAGGAAAACTTGTACATATAAGAGAACAATATTTAGACAATTCATGGGTTGTCCCGTACAACCCTTATTTGCTTTGTAAGTTTGATTGTCATATCAATGTTGAGGTTTGTTCGGATATTAAAGTTGTGAAATATATTTACAAATACATTTGTAAAGGACATGATAAAATTGTTTTTTCTGTACATGGCAACGAAGAAATAGATGAAATCAAAGAATATCGATCTGCTAGATGGGTAACACCCCCAGAAGCAGCATGGCGTTTGTTTGGTTTTCCTATTAGTGAAATGACTCCGAGTGTTTATCATCTTCAGTTACATTTAGAAGGGCAACAATTTGTTTCTTTTAAAAGTACTGAAAGCGTGAATAGAATATTAAATAATCCGATGATTAGAAAAACAATGTTAACTGAATTTTTTACTATGAATAGCAATGATGAACATTCTAAAGATATGCAATTACTATATAAGGAATTTCCAGAACACTTCGTATGGTCTCCAGGATATAAAATGTGGACACGTCGACAAAAACGTAATGTAATTGGACGTGTTGTGACATGTCATCCAACAGAAGGGGAAAGATATTATCTTAGGTTACTATTGATGAATGTAAGAGGACCAAAATCATATGAAGATCTTCGCACCGTTAATGGTGTACCTTGTAGTACATTTAGAGAATCTGCAGAAAAAAGAGGACTACTATACTGTAGTAATAGTTTGATTGAATGTATGTCAGAGGCGGTAGGCTATCAGATGCCATATAGTTTGAGACGTTTATTTGCAACATTGTTAGTATATTGCAGCCCTACGAATCCAAAAGAATTATGGGAAATGTTTGAGGATTCAATGTCCGAAGACTTTAAGCGTTTCTCGAATATCATGATGCAAAGTGTTCGACATAACGTCTTAAGCCATATCAACGATATCTTATATTCTATGGGCCATGACATAAATGAGTATAAGCTTGTTCCAGAAAATATTAGACCTTCTGTGACTGCAAAGGATGCAAAAGATGTTCATTTTGAGAAAACATAATTGTTAGTGAAGAAGACTTGTTGTTACCAACGAGATTGATGCCGAACAATGGCGATCATGTAACACAATAATTGATAGAATATCTTCTAAGCAATCAGGAGCTTTTTTCATTGATGGTCCCGGCGGAACAGGTAAAACTTTGTTATATCGTGCATTATTAGCAACTATCAGGTCTCAAGGATTTATAGCTTTAGCAACTGCAACTTCTGGTGTAGCAGCTTCCGTCCTTCCAGGGGGACGGACTGTTCACTCACGTTTCAAAATGCCAATAGACATAGATGATAACTTCTGCTGCAATATTAGTAAACAAAGTTCACTTGCAACCTTGATTCGAGATGCAAAACTAATTGTATAGGATGAAGCATCGATGGCAAAAAAAAATATAATTGAAGCTCTTGATGCACTTCTTAAAGATATTATGGATGTGAATACATTATTCGGAGGTAAAGTAAATGTATTTGGAGGTGACTTTAGGCAGACTCTTCCAGTTGTTCGCAACGGCAAAAAAGAAGATTTTATTCATGAAAGCTTGTTATATTCTAATGTTTGGAATAAACTTGAGAAACTGCATCTATCTGAAAATATGCGCGCAAGAACAGATCCATCTTTTTGTGAATATTTACTTAGGATTGGAAATGGAAAAGAACCAACAAACTGTGAAAACAAAATTGAGATTCCTGATTCTTTTGTTATTCCTTTTACTACAGAAGAAGAATCTTTAGATGTATTATTTAATATAACATATCCCAATTTACATGCATTTTCCCCTAAGTCATCTATGTTTACTTCTCGTGTTATTTTAACAACGAGGAATGATTTTGTGAATGAGATAAATAATATGTTAATCACTAAATTCCCAGAAAGGGTTACAACATTTGTTGCAATTGATGAAACTATTGAACCGAATGATCAAAGTCAATTTGAAGATTTCCTACATAGTTTAGATCCTCCTGGTCTACCTCCTTATAAGTTAACTTTAAAGGAAAATTGTCCAGTTATATTGTTACGAAATTTGAATCCCTGTGAAGGTTTATGCAACGGTACTCGATTAACATGTTGTGACTTTAGAACACACGTCATAAGTGCTAAAATTGAAAGCGGTGACTTCAAAAATACACATGTGTTTATACCGAGAATACCATTGTTAGCATCACAAGACGAGAAAATACCTGTTCAGTTTAAGAGAACACAATTTCCTTTAAGATTATGCTTTGCTATGACGATAAATAAAGCTCAAGGTCAAACATTAGATTTTGTTGGAATCTATTTACGCGAACCTGTTTTTTCACACGGCCAACTTTATGTTGCTTTATCCAGAGCCAAAAGCTCAAAATGTGTCAAAGTATTGATTCGTCCACCTACAACAAACGGTAATGACCATTCGACACATAATATAGTATATGATGAAATTATTCAAAAAGCCTTCTCGTCAGTAACCTACTGATGACTTTGATTTTGTTAACTTCGTGGAACTGTTCTTTTGGATTCTTTGCTCCTACTGAAAAGTAATGGATTCAATAAAGGACACCCTGGTGTTGCAATTGGAAATTTTTTTTTTAACTCCGCCTGTGTTGTAGTATAACTACAACACAGCCGGTTCCAAGCCCGGACAAAGGAGGAGGGTTTTTCAGTTTATTGCAAGTTAGATCCTTCACTACTATATTTTCATTTGTAGGTGTGTCAAAGAGATCCTATAACGTGAAATGCTTCCACGTGTTGGTACTAAAAAATTCTACGACACTAACCAAGTTATAATAGAGTACTTCTATTTTCCAGCTTAGATATTGTTTCAATTCTTGATTTTGTATTGGATATTTCAACGATCTGATTAATTCTACTATTCAAAATTATCCAACTGCTTGGAGAATTTCTAGATCATCTTTAACCTCATTATTCTTTTCCTTCAACTATTATGATACATACTAATAATTAACATCATATATATATGTGTATTTGAAGGAAACTAAGTTATTCAGTTTATAACGAATTACATCTTTCACTGCTGTATTTTTATTTGTTGATTCGATTCTACTCTTTCTGATTTTATTCTTCTTTGTTAAAAATTAGTTCTTTTCAATCAGTGCTGTCACGACCCCAACCCCGGTCGTGATGGCGCCCAACACACTGCTAGGCAAGCCCGACCATTTACACAACCTTGACCAAATGACCTAGGTGGATAAATGAATATTCACAAGTAAAAACAAGCAATTTAAATGCGGAACCTCTGAAATAATTTCTAACATTCAAAAATCCCAAGATAAAATACTAAATAGCCCACAGATCTGGTGTCACGAACATGAGCCTCTAAAATCGGAATATTCACCTATCACAAGTCTGTCTAGGAAAGAAAAAAAAATACGAATAATAGGATAAAATGGATGGGAGAGATCAAGGCTGCGAACGCCATGCAGCTACCTCGATACTCCCGGATAAATGCTGCTCCGCTAAACAAGTCCTCACTCACCCTGTGGTGTACCTGAAACTGCACACAAGGTGCAGGGAGTATTGTGAGTACTTCCAACCCAGAAAGTAATAAACATAAATAAGGGTTGAGAGTAAGAAACTCTTGNATAAGTGATGCTCCGCTAAACAAGTCCTCACTCACCCTGTGGTGTACCTGAATCTGCACACAAGGTGCAGGGAGTATTGTGAGTACTTCCAACCCAGAAAGTAATAAACATAAATAAGGGTTGAGAGTAAGAAATCCTGGACAGGCACAAAGTAAGCTATAATTACAGCAACTCAATCTAAATAATATCAACTCAATAAACTAATGAAAAACAATATAGAATATCACAGCAGATAAATAAGTAAATGACAATCAAGTATGCAATGCAACACATAAACTGGTACCTCCAGTACCCCGCTGCGGCCGTGCAGCCCGTTCCATTTATTTAACGTCGACGACGCTCACTGGGGGTGTGCAGACTCCGGGAGGGGCCCCTTACGGCCCAAGCGCAATAATAAGCCATCTCGTGGCATCAAACAGGCCCTTGGCCTCATATCAATGTTATTATAATACTGCTGCGGCGTGCAGCCCGATCCCATACTCAGTCCAAAAATCACACAATAGTATAAGAATATTCAGCCCAAACTTCATTTAAAAATATTAACTTAATTTCTAATTTAAGAAAATGGCTGAGGTTTCAAACACCGTATTAAATACCAGGACTGAGTTTGATATTTATAAATATGGTAAGAAACCATTAAAATAATCCTTGAAGGATGCAAGTAGTTGGCACGAAGCCCAATTATGACAATTAATCCATTTTTATAAGGATATTACAAATCTACAATCAAATAGGTATCACTTTTATTTAGCGGGACGGACCAAGTCACAATCCCTGACGGTGCTCTACCCCACGCCCGTTATCCGGCGTGCAAGTCACCTAACATAGCACTACGTTGTGCAAATTCGGGGTTTCAAACCCTCAACACAGCATTTACATTTATTACTAACCTCAAGCCGGCCAAAGTCCTAGCTTGCTATGCCCTTGCCTTTCGAATTCACCTCTTCGCGCGTCGAATCTGACCAAAACCACAATGAATACGTCACAATATGCTAAGGGAATATAACCCAATCGAAAAGGCTCGAAAAACATTGAAAATCACGAAGTTGGCAAAACCCGAGCCCCGGGCCCACTTCTCGAAAAATTATAAATTTTACATCACCGGATTCCTTATCTCGCCGCGAGTCTATACATATAAAGAACACCAAAATCGGAGTCCAAATGACCCCTCAAATTCCCATTTTTGTTCTCTTAGGTTTCAAGCCCTAAACCACCATTTTTGACCTTAAATCCTTGAGTTTTCAGTCTAATTTCATGTGTTTGCACCATAAAATCGTATTTTTGGTTTAGAAATTCTTACCTCAATGAAGTCCCTTGATTCCTCTCCTCCAACTCGCCCAAATTCTCCAAGTCCGAAGTGAAAATATGAAACCCTTGCAAAAATTCGCGAAGGGAAATAAAACTATTCTGACCAGTTATTTCCGCATCTGCGGCTCCTGCTTTTGCGGTCAATGCACCGCTTCTGCGGACATATCCGCTTCTGCGGTTCAATATCCGCTCCTGCGCCTCCCGCTTCTGCGGACATAATAACGTATCTGCGGATCCCCATAAGAGCTCAAATACCGCATCTGCGGTCCTCCTGTCGCATCTGCGACTCCGCAGATGCGGTCACCAATTCCGCACCTGCGGTCCCTGCCGCTTCTGCGTCTCTCCTCTCGCTTCAGCGGTACGCTTCTGCGGTCCCAATTCCGCAGAAGCGAAAATATCAGAAGCAGCACAGATTCTGCAATCTCTTAAGTTCAAAACTTCCCGTTAGCCATCCGAAATCACCCCGAGGCCCTCGGGACCTCAACCAAAAATACAAGCATGATCCAATACCTTATTCAAACTTGCTCCAATCATTAAAACACCTCAAACAACACTAAAACCATCATTTCTCATCGAATTCAAGCCTAAGTTCTTCTAAAACTTCCGAAACACGCATTCGATCAGAAACCCAACCAAAACACCTCCGAACGACCTGAAATTTTGCACACACATCCAAAATCACCTAACGAAGCTACTGCAACTCTCGGAATCACATTCCGACCCCCGGATCAAAATTTCACCTACCAACCGGAATTCGCCAAAATACTAACTTCGCCAATTCAAGCCTAATTCTACACCGAACCTCCAAAATCAATTCCGATCGCACTCCTAAGTCACAAATAATCCCCCGAAGCTAACCAATCATCAGAATTCAAATCCGAGCCCTCTAACACAAAAGTCAACATCCGGTTGACTTTTCCAACTTAAGCCTTCTTAAAAGAGACTAAGTGTCTCATTTCTTATCAAAACCTTTCCAAACCAACTCTAACACATCAAATACTGATAATGAAACTTAAGGAAGCATAACATGGGGAAAACGGGGCGGTAACTCACGTGACGACGGGTCGGGTCGTCACATCCTCCCCAACTTAAACAAACGCTCGTCCTCGAGCGGGTCAAGAAACATACCTGAAGTCTCAAATAGGTGAGGATATCTGCTCCGCATCTCCTGCTCGGTCTCCCAGGTAGCCTCCTCCACGGGCCGACTTCTCCATTGCACTTTCACCGATGCAACATCCTTTGATCTCAACTTTCGAGCCTGACGATCCAAAATGGCTGCTGGCTCTACCTCATAAGTCAAGTCACCATCCAGCTGAACTGTACTGAAATCTAACACATGGGACGGGTCCCCAATGTACTTCCGGAGCATAGACACATGAAAAACTGGATGCACGCCCGACAAGCTAGGCGGCAAGGCAAGCTCATAAGCCACCTCCCCGATCCTCCTAAGTACCTCAAAAGGTCCAATAAACCGCGGGCTCAGCTTCCCTTTCTTCCCAAATCTCATAACACCCTCATAAAAGATACATCTCGAACCTTCCTGTCTGCATAGCTCTTCTGTCTCGACTGTGCTGTACGGAGTCTCTCCTGAATCACCTTCACCTTCTCCAATGCATCCTGAACCAAATATGTCCCCAACAACCTAGCCTCCCCGGGCTCGAACCAACCAACTGGAGATCTACACCGCCTCCCATACAAGGCCTCGTACGGTACCATCTGAATGCTGGACTGATAGCTATTATTGTATGCAAACTCCGCAAGCGGTAGAAATCGATCCCATGATCCTCCAAAACATATCCTCCAATATCTGAATGGTGCGCTCGGACTGCCCGTCCGTCTGAGGGTGAAAAGTTGTGCTCAACTGCACCTGAGTACCCAACTCTCGCTGAACAGCCTGCCAAAACTGAGAGGTGAATTGAGTGCCCCGATCCGATATGATGGAAACTAGGACACCATGCAATCGAACTATCTCCCGAATATAGATCTCTGCCAGCCGCTCTGAACAATAGGTAGTACAAACCGGAATGAAGTGCGCGGACTTGGTCAGTCTGTCTACAATCACCCAAATAGCATCAAATTTCTTCAGAGTTCGTGGAAGTCCGTTAACAAAATCCATAGTGATTCTCTCCCACTTCCACTCAGGAATAACCATCTGCTAATGTAAGCCACCCGGTCTCTGATGCTCATATTTCACTTGCTGACAATTAAGGCACCAGGCTACATACTCCACAATATATCTCTTCATCCTCCGCCACCAGTAGTGCTGTCTAAGATCCTGATACATCTTTGCGGCACCCGGATGAATGGAATACTGCGAGCTATGGGCCTCCTCCAGTATCAACTCCCGAAGCCCATCCACGTTGGGCACGCAAATCCGGCCCTGCATCCTCAACACACCATCATCTCCAATGGTCACATCCCTGGCATCATCATGCTGAACCCTGTCCTTAAGGACAAGCAAATGCGGATCATCATACTGACACTCCCTGATG